GCCACCTCGCGTCCAGCACCGGCAGCGGACGCTTCTTCACTGACTCTGAGGAGGCGCCGCCGCCCCGCTGGGGGCGCCCCGACAGCACCAGCCCGCGCCCGGCTGCCGCAGCCTGCAGACAAGACGTTGGGCTTTGGGGAGCACGCGGCCACCTTGGGGAGCAGCGTGGCTTCTGAGGGCCCCTCCTGGGGTGTCTCTCGCGCGGCAGCTGTGCCAAGGTCGCGCTCTGCGAGCCAAGGTCACCTGACGCCCAGCGCACTCCTGCTTCAGAGCTGGGGCCGGGCCCTACGAGGCTCCAAAATGCAGCCTGAGGGCAGGTGTGAGCAGATCCACGTCCGAGTTAATGGACTGGCCATGGCGGTGGGGGGCCGAGCACTGCAGGGGGGCGCCGCGGGGGCCTGGCTCGCTGCCCAGCACCACCCGAGCGGGGACCCCCTTCCAGGTGGGCGTTCTCAGGCAAGTGGCTGCTGACCCGGGGACAGGGCCGGAGAGCGGCCACGCCATCAGGGCCTCCGCGTCCATGCGCTACAGCTGAGGGTTTCTCGGGCTCCCCACGGTGGCCCAGGGGACGGAGCGGTCAGTGAGGACGGCAGGGCGCGGTGGCGGGGTCCGGTTCCAGGGTGGCGGTGCTGACGGGCTGACACAGCCCCCGGGTGTGAGGCCAGTGTCCACTCCAAGCACGGAAGGATCCATCAGACTGTAGCTTCCTCCTGTGAACCCGTCCGCGAGGTGGGGTCCCCTGGGGGGTGCGGGTGGAGGGTGGAGGGAGAACTGCTGGTGGTGTCTCCCCGCCCATGAGCACGCACAGACGGGGAGGGAAGAAAAGCGAGCTGAGAGGGAGCCAGGAAGTGGGGGAGACAGGAGGGGGGCAGAGCCCTGAGCGAGGGGGAGGCCCAGCTCAAAGAGGGACAGCACCCTAGTCCCGCCAGGGCCCCCGGGCCACAGTGCCGACACCCCCAGGCGCCCAGGCTGCACCCCAATATAAACCTCACTGCTTGCACCCCCCTCCGCCCCCCATTTCCAGATGGGCACTGGGGTCGGTGCCGGGCGGGTGGCGTTGGGGAGCAGAGCCTGGCCCCAGGCAGCCAGAACACCCAGGCTCCAGTGTCCAGCAGCGCCCTCCCCAGCCTCCTCCAGGGAGACGCCATCCCCACGGTCCTTCCCAGAAGGCGCCTCTGTCAGCAGCCTCCGCCCCTCCCTGTAGGGAGAGGGAGGATCTCGGGGTGCCGGGCCTGACCGCCTTGCTGTCTGGGCCTTGCTGGGCAGTGGCCAGCCGCAGGGAGGAGGCAAGGCTCCCTGGGAACAGTGACTCTGCAGAGACACTCGGTCTCACTAGAATCCACGTCAACACCCGCAATGGCCTCCTGACCAGGCG